CCCCCCCCCCTTTCTGCACAGCAAGCAGGAGGCTCCAAGGCAGAGGGCAGGAGCAGCACACGGCAGTGAGGGGGAGGGACAGCTGAATTGCCAGGCAATTGATAGCCTGCTGGGCAGCTGCCACACAGGGAACTTAGGGAGTGGGGAGCGGATAGGGGGGCTGCTGGCCCATCCTGGTTCCAAGCCTCCACCAGCTAGCTCCTACGGGCTGCTCTTTCTGCAAGCGGTGGACAAAGCAGGCAACTGACAAACAAAATTATAAGGTAGCATTGCGCAACTTTAAACGAGCATGTTCTCTAACTGATCAGCAACGTTTTTAACCGGGAGGACGTTAAGTGAGGAGTTACTGTACCTTGTTGTAACTGACAGTGAAGTGCAATTTACTAGAACCCTGCTTTCTAGATGGTTGAGAGCAAGATTTTAGTAAATTTCACTTAACTGCAAATACACAATATAGTGGAATCTCATAGAGCATTAATCCACTTTGAAATAAATTACTTTAGTATTAAAGTCTTCAGTGCCTTATGGAATTAGTGGTGCTCGTGGTTTAAAAATATTACATTGCATGGACCCATTTGTGTACTTCCTGTGCCATACTATTCTAGTGAAATTTTGGCAGGTTGTAGTAAATACTTCGTTTCTTGAGTATGTGCTGTTAGCATTCAAATGCCCACCTTAAAAGGTTGTAGAAAATATACAGGAGGCTTCTGATGTTGCAAAAGGAGTGTACGGAAAGAAGTTAAAAAGTTAAACTTTTTTCCTTAGTAAATCTCTGCATTGCGTGGATCCTGAGGCTAAGACCTACAGGGAAAATCTGGTGGAATGTTTTTATCTGTTTAAGTTGCTTCAGGCAAGAGGCCTATGCTGTAGTAGTGATTATGAATGTCATATGCACACTAGAACAATTGTTTTCAACTTGTGGTCCACGGACCCCCTAGGCGGTCTGCAAATCGTGCCTAAGATTTCCAGAGGGGTCTGCATCTCCATTTGAAATTTTTTAGGAATTCACAAAAGAAAATAGGTTGAAAACCACTGCCCTAGGAGAATATGCTTAGGTGTGATTATTTTTAAAACATATTAAAGTTGATTTTGCTCCAAGATAAAGACAATTCCATTAATTTTTATCTAGTGTCTTAAGCCAAAGATTCCATGTGCAATGCAGGAAAGGGTTACATTTTTAAAAAATGAGTATTTGGGAAGAATAATCAAGGCATATACTCATTTGCGTTGTTATTCTGATCAAAATTAAACGTATTTAACCTGCTGTGGATTTGATTCACTTGTGACAATTAGGCTAATAGGTCTGTCCTTACCCCACTTTACTTACAGTGACGTATTACAAAGTTTCTGTAGTTGTTACACTTGTGTAAAATAACTGTTTTATCACCATATGGGTCTGAAAAACTGTGCACCTATGACTGTGATTCCCCAAATCTTTTCTGTTCTCCCCCCACCCACCCCCCATTACCCATAATGGAACCTGTCCACCTGGGGCTGCAGCTGGGAGCTGAGCAGGGCTGCCCGGGGGAGCAAGTGGGGCAATTTGTCCCGGGCCCCACAGGGGCCCCCACGAGAATATAGTGTTCTATAGTATTGCAACTTTTTTTATGGAAGGGGCCCCCAAAATTGCTTTGCCCCAGGCCCCCTGAATCCTCTGGGCGGCCCTGGAGCTGAGGCCGGAGCCGGGACTGGGTGATGCTCCTCCCCCCTCCTCCAATCGGGGGCTGGCCTGGGCCCCACCATGTGATGCCCCCCCGAGCATTCCTCCATGTTCCCCCTCGGCGGGCATGCCCCACGCTTTGGGAACCACTGACCTATGACAACATAAGAAGTTATTCCTTAGTGCCTCACATATCTTTGTTGTGATCTCTGAAAAATTTAACCCAAATTGAAAGTTTAAAGTAACAAGTGAATGACTTATGCCAGAGGTTCCCAAATTTTTGTTACTGCATATCCCCTTCCAGATCTACCAGCTGCCCGTGTACCCCTACCCATCTCATCACTGATACTTTGTTCTTCCTAACACTACCTGTCTTTAGCCATCTGTCCATATTTCAGTTACATACAGATACAGTTACTGTGACACATATACAACCGAAAAAAAACCCAACCCTGACTAAGTTCTGAGCTCAGTTAGACTAGGCAGTTGCTGGGCAACTGAACCCACGCTGTATGGTGATTGGGGATGAGGGCTCTGTATGTCAGCAACTCTGTGTTCTTATTGGTACATCTTGAAGTCAATTAACTACTGTATTTTATAGAACAAATTCCCACACAGAGTTTTAAAGTTTCGTTTGAATAGCCTATTATGAAAATGCAATAAATAAAATCCACCATTACACAATTTTTCCTGCATTCCCCAGAGATGTCTCGTGTATCCCTGGGGGTACATGTACCACACTTCGGGAACCCCTGACTTGTGCAATGTAAAAATGTAATTCTACATAAGCAGTCTGCATTTTGAGAAGATTTAGGAGAATCATGTTGGCATTATAAACATTAAAATCACACAATACATTTCTCGCAGTAACAGCCCTCTGTGTAGCCATTACCTGTCTACATACTTCTGTGCACATCCTTCAATGCAGACTCCCCAAATGTCTTGCAGTGGGGAGCTGTTTGGTTAGTACTGTTACAACAGTTTTGTTAATCCCTGCATTCAGTAGCCCAGGAAACCAAAAGCGTAACTTCAGCTACTGTGTTGACAAGGCTTTATTTAAGTTGTACTTAGTAATAAATAACCTTTCTGATTGTAGCAGAAGGCATATTAAACACATAAGAGGTCCTCACAAATAACGTGAAATGGTGGTGTTGGCTATAATAAAGAACTTGCACTTCTTGTTTGTAGGTGTTTACAGTGCAGCTGACTCTTGGGGACCAGCACTGGGAAGCTGAAGGAACTAGTATTAAAAAAGCTCAACATGCGGCAGCTGCCAAAGCTTTGGAAGGGACAAAATTTCCTAAACC